AGACCTGGAAGTCAGGAAGAAGAGGTGGATGAGGTACTTTTTCAAGGTGACAAAATTATTCAACAGTTATGAGATCGTACTGATGAGGGGCTTCAATTTTCTGGATATCTGCTGAAAGAATAATACAACCAAACATAAAATGTCAAGCAAGTTCTTAACTTTTGTGGAAGACAACTTTCTATTCTAGAAAGTTGAGGATACAAGGGATCTTGTCTCAGATTTTGTCTTGATCTATAGGGAAGAATTAGTGGAGAATGTGAAGGTGATGGGCAACTTAAGAGAAAGTGATCATGATATGAGAGAATTCAAGACCTTGAAGGATAAAGGGATCCAGGAGAGCTGGACGTTTCTAAAAGTTACCGTATTGGAATTCCAACAAGATGCTATTCTGGCATCATGGAAGAATAAGAAAAATGTCAGGTGACCAATATGGCTGCACAAAGAGTTTCTAGGATACCTCAAAAGGAAAAGGAAAGCATACAAGCAATGGAAAGATGGGCTGGTAACCAAAGAAGCATACCAGGAAATAGCAAGAACTTGCAGGGAAGAAGTCAGGCACACAGAGGAAAAAATTAACTTTACTTGGCAAAAGAAGTTAAAGAGAACAAGAAGAGGCTCTGGAAATTTTGGCCCAAAAAGAAACACCAGTAAGCTATGGATCCACTGGTAAGCAGTCAGGGTGAACTCAACAGAAGATGCAAAGGAGGCAGAGGTGCTGAAAAGCTACTTTGACTCAGTGTTCACAGAAAAAATAAGCTCCAGCCAGACAACAAATAAGGATTATTTGGATAAGGAAGGGGAGAAGTTGAGGGTTGTGATAGTGAAAGAGATGGTCAATGATCTTTTACTGCGCTTGAATGAATTTAAGTCAGGACCTGGTGAACTTTGTCCCAGGGCACCAAAGCAACTGGTCAAAGAGATTTTGGGCCCTTGACATTAATATTTACCAAGTCATGGGAGACAGGCAAGGTACCAGAGGACTAGAAAAGAGCCCACATAGTGCTATTCTTTAAAAAAGGAGGACTTTTGGAATTATGTACTGGTTAGCCTGCCCTCAGTTCCTGGGAAGTTATTGCAATGTATATAAGTAGGGACTGGTTTAAATTGTGATTTTGCATTTTTCATAAAAATCACAAAATTAATTGAATTAATCACAAAATCACCACCAACAAGATGGCTGGTGCAGGCTGGAAAAGCATTCCCCAGCCAGCAGCAAAAGCCTAGCATCCCAGGGGAGGGGGGAAGGGATTGCAAACATGATAATGGGAGGAGAGAATTTGGGAATGAGTAGGGGAGGGGCTGTTTGCTCCTCTGGGCAGGAAAACTTGTTGCTACTGCTGTTCCTGCCTCTTCTGGTAAGGATGGGGGATGGAGCTGTGGGCTTTTCAGTAGTGATTAGAGGCCTTGGGAGCAACGTCTCTGCTGTTGCAATTAAACTTGGCCCTAAACCTCAGTCATTCGGTTGGTCGGGGCGGGGGGTTGTTTGGGAGTAGGGCACCATGATCTGGGCACAAAAATGGTGGCCCTCACCACAATCTGGCCATGATATTAGTGAACTGGGCCTGCAATTTAAAGCAAGCCCTAATCATAAGGCTGTCCATTTGAAAGGATCTAGAGGATAAAAGTTTGATCACAAGCAGCTAGCACAGATTTACTAAGAACAAAACAGGCCAAACTTGATCTCTGTAACAATATACAGTAAAAGCTCTGTTATCTGGCATCCATGGGGAATGGGGTGTGCCAGTTAATCAAATACGCTGGTTTTCTGAGAGTTATAATCATCTCCAGCCTGGTGGGTTGGAGGTGTCTTTGCCTGTTCGGGCTGCCGCTCCGACTGCTGCGTCCGGTGCACCAGGGCTTTTACTCCCTGGCATCAGTGACAGAGAGAGGGGCTCCGTGCAGGCTGCTTTGCCCCAGGCCGTGGTCCACAAGAAAGAAGTGGGACTCGGCTCGCAGCAGCGAAACAAGAGGTGCCATGGTGAGACAGATGCTGATTAATAGAGCATTCTGGATGGTAAAGTGCCAGATAACACATTTTTTACTGTATCGAATTAGGTGGATGAAAGGAATGCAGTGGATATAGTGCTGTGGGGCTCATCCTACAGACATTAATTGCAGTTAATGGTACCACTCTTCCATCATCACATTTCCAGACCTGTGGGGAGACCCACAGGCTGGATGGCATGGCCCCATATGCCAGATCATGCTGGCACAACGTTTGTCAACCTGTGGTACACGTACCCCTGGGGGTACGCAAGACACAGGCAGGGGGTATGCAGGTACCCCAACACACTCTCTCTCTCCCTCTCTCCCCCCCCCCTCCTCCCCCCTCTCTCTCTCTCTCTCTCTCTCTCTCTCTCTCTCTCTCTTTCTCTCCCTCCCTCTTTTCCTCTCTCTCTTGCCCTCTTTTCCTCTCAAAACTATGGCAAAAAATTTGATGTGCCACGCATTAAAATCCCTCAGTAATAATTTGGCGTTCAGCCCTCCTAGTTTTGGGCAACATCACTTCCAGCCCAGGTATATACTTGAGTTGTGCACTAAAAGGTGGCAGCCCTATCCACACCAGATCAGACATCTGTCATATCTCTGCCCTTCTTCCAACATATAGCACGCATTAGTCTGTAAATATAAAATCCCCTGGAAAATTGAGTTTTGGGGTACTCATTAAATTTTTAAGAAGTCCGGTGGTACTTGCTACTTAAAAGGTAGAGAAACACTGTGCTGGCTAGTGTGCTGGATCATACCTGTAGACTGACCTTGTACACAGGATCCAGCCTGCAGACCAGCTCCCATGCCTGCAGGGACAGATAGGTTGACCACCACTGGTACAGTGTATTTGGACTTCAGTAAGCCTTTTGACAAAGTCCTATATGACTTTCTTATAAACAAGTTTGAGAAATGTATGCCTGATAAAATGTGTATAAGGTGTACAGACAGCTGGTTCAGTAATTGCAAGCAAAGGGTAATTACAAATGGATTTATGTTAGAATAGCAGGAGGTTTTGAGTGGAGTTCCAGAGGCTTCTCCCCTGGGCCTAACGCTATTCAACAGGTTAGTGATTTGGATGCTGGACTAGAGAACTTCTCGAGAAAATTATTGAACAGGAAATGATACTAGGGAAGATTGTGAACATGCTAGAAGACAGGAGCATAATTCAGAAGGATCTTGATAGATTAGAAGCTGAGCTAAAGCCAACAGGATGAAGTTCAGTACTGAAAAATGCAAGGTGCTGAACCTTGGGAAGAATCATCAAAAACACTGTCAGGCAGGAACAAGGTCAGAGCAAGGCTGGAGGCAGGGCAAGAGGGTCCAAGGCAGAAGCGAGAGCAGAGCGAGGCAGGGGTTCAAGACAGGAGATCCAAGACAGGAGCAGGACTATTGGAGTCTGGCAAGGAGGGGTCCATAGCAGAAATATTAGGAGTATTGTTGTAGGGACGAAGCCCCACAGGAAGTGGAAGGGTTTTGTAGCCCTCCCATCCAGACTTTGTGAATTCCATTGTTCTTCCTAGGTCACCTGCTCTACTGTTAGGTACCTGGTGGAAGGTGCCAGGCTCAGCATGGCTAGTCTCCTAATAGCTCTGCAGCCTGGTCCTCTTGACTGCAGGTGCCATGAGTTGGGGTTTGAATCCTAGAAACATGATGGCAGTTTTCAAATATCTAATGGGCTCCCATAAAGAAGGGGGAGAACACTTTTTTTCATTGCTGCAGAGAGTAAAATATGGACCAATGGCTGGAAGCTGCAGCCAAGTAGGTTTAGATTGAATATTAGGAAAAACATCACTGTTAGGATTATGAGGCAGTGGAAGAGACTGCCTAGGGAAGTTGTGGACTTTCCACCACTGGAGGTGTTCAAGAAGAGGTTGGACAGTCACTGATCGGGGAATGATTTAGGTGTAGCTATGCCTATATTCTACTGTGGGTAGAACAAAACAGGTTTTTAATAATATATTTGCATGGTTAAAATCAGATACTAATTTGGTAAATATAGAAATTAAAGCCAAAGATTGCTCTGTTGTACCTGAATGTTTTTCTTTTGCTGCCTCTTTTATAAAGGGACCTTGTTAGAGGCTCTAAGTGATCATTTTAAAAGCCCTCTTAGGCAGGGGTGTGCAACCTATGGCCTGCAGAGTCATTTGAACCAGCCAGCAGATGTGGGGCTTTGGCAATATTCAGAGGCAGGGAAGCTTTGGAGGCTGGTGCTTTTTTCACGCTGGCACAGAGATGCAGCAGCTAGGTCCTGGTTCCTACCCATCCACATTTGATCCAAATAGGGTCATTCTAGCCTGCAGCCTAAAAAGGCTGCCAACCACTGCTCTTCCAGGTTCCTGATGCATTCTTTTAAAAAATCATATTTATCTTTCATCTCATAACTGCTAACTTATAGATAGCCTAGTGCCACAATTTGGGGGGCTATTTCCATGAAATTAGTTTAGTAGTATGGAAAAACCAATGCCACAAAAATATATGCAGTAAAATAGAAATCTGGATAATGGTAACCAAACATCCAATATTTGGATAATAATTGTCCACAAAAACTGTATCATTGGACTTTCTTTTTACATGTTAAGACTGATTTTTGTTTACTCATTAACAAAGCAGATTTTATTTAAGATAATTCCTGTAACACCCTGTCTGAAAAAAGGGTCATTGCCTGGCAGGAGAATACACTGTCTAACATGTAAACTTGATTCTCTTATGAAATGATGTTTACTTTAAACAAAGTAACAAGTCTTTTTTTTTTTTTTTTTTTTTACTGTTAGTAATCTTTTTTGTAACTGTTAATGGTTATTGTTACTACCAGAGTGAAGGAAAACTTGTTTTTATATTATCATGAATTAATCCATATTTTTAATCCCCTAAAAAACCTCACCTTAGAATCTAAATGGGATACTAACATAAATTAGTTTTAATTTATAGAAAAGCTACATCATGATGAAATGAATGATCTTTTTAGATTCAATTTTGGACTTATGATTTTCCTTTGATTTTGTGTTGTACAGGAGCCTGTAAAACCTGAAGAAGGCAGAGACATGGCAAACCGCATTAGTGCATTTGGATATATGGAATGCTCTGCAAAGACCAAAGATGGTGTGAGGGAGGTTTTTGAAATGGCCACTAGAGCTGCTTTGCAAGCCCGGCGTGGCAAGAAAAAATCTGGGTGCCTTCTCTTGTAAAGCATGGCCAGAAGATGGCCAAGGCAGCCCCCTGCACTTGAGTAATTTTGAAGTGCTGTTTATTAATCTTAGTGTAAGATTACTGGCCTTTTTCATTTACCTTTAATTTACTTTTAAAAAATCAAGTCATCTTGCTACCAGTATTTAGAAGCCAACCATAATTTTTATAACAGTCTACATCAAATTTATCTGTGTACAAAAGGTTAACTTTAACATTCCTTTAACAAACCTTCGCTGCACTCACACAATATGCCAGGCGCTAATTGAAGGCAATTTTCAAACTTGTTTCTTTCTAGAAAGAGAAAAAAGATGGTAATAGAGAATTGAAATGTAACTACTTTATAACTAACATCCTCTTCTAATTGAGTACAACAGCTGTATAGCTGCATGTGGAATTCAGACAAACTTCAGTGCTGTCACATTTAGGAAAGTTGGATTTTCATCTAAGGTATAAAACAATAGGTATAATAATGGGTCTAAGGTATAAAACAATAGTTTGAAAATGTGATCACCCTGAAAAGTCCCATCCAGCTATTGAAAAGCAACAGTTCTGTGGTTTCATGTTAGTTACCTTTTAGTTGCTGTGTAATTAGTGCCACTTAAATGTATGTTACCAAAAATAAATCTATTTACCCAGGCCTAGATGTAGTATTTTTTGTATAATTGGACTTCCTAATGCTGCTACTTGTAATCTCTGTGTAATGTGTTATGGTTTTTTTTTAAGAAACCGTATTTGAAAATAAAGTTTGATGGAAAGCAGCTGATCTTTCTCCCCCACCTAAACTCATTTGTTTGTGACTGACCCATTTGTATGGTTTAAATTATAATTTGCACACCCAGGAAGACATTATTCCATGAACTTCCAGCACCTGCCTAAGGAGCCAAGGAAAGGCAGTCTGTTCATATTCAAGGCAACTGAACATTTCAGAAGCTTCAAGACAACTAACTGCTTGACCCAGCTTCAAGGCAAAAATGCAATGTTTTGTCATTTGTTTGTTTGGTTACTACCTAGCATCCAAACTCCCAACCTGTGAACTTCTTGATGTTCTGCAGGCAACTGAACTCTTCTGTATTTTCCATTTTCCAATAACTAGTAGAATAAAGGCAGTTTTCTAAGCTCCCTGTATCCTGGTGTCTGTATTCGTCTCACTGTAGGCTTTTTGGGATGCACCTGCCCTAAGGCCTCAAGATTTGTCAGGCTGAGACCAAAATCCTAAGTTTGAAATATACCAACGGTTGCAAGCACTTTCATACTTTTTTCCAGATTGCAGCTGTGGAATTCCAGTATATTCTCCCTGCTCTCCAGTGCCAGTAAGTGAACCTGAAAGTGACTGTTGCACTGCAGACATTTGGCTGATACTCTGGTTGAAATAAACTCTGCATGTGAGCAGAAGGTAGGGTTTAATAGTAGGGATGCACCAATAGAGATTTTGGGGGCTGATACTGATAGCCAGTTTTTTAAGGAGGTATACTGGTCAATACTAATCCAATTTCCGATACAGCTGCATGCAACTGGTAAGTCTATTGCAGTGAAAGGGGAGAGGGGAGGGAAGGGGCATGGGGAGGCAGCCCTGTGGTGAGAGAGGGAGTGGGGCATGGGCTGGGGCAGGGCCTGGGGGAGGTGCTGCTTGGCCAGGGTGGGACAGGCGTGAACTGGCTCATGGAGGGGGGGGAGGAAGGGGGGGAGGAAGGGCATGGGGGGGGCATGTGCCCCTGGATCTGTGTGGGGTGGGGTGGGGTGGGGTGGGGCATGCTGGGGTTGAAGCTGCACTGGGCTTTTCCTTGCAGGGCTGGGCCATGCTACACTTGGGGTGGGCAGTGGCAGTGCTTGGAGTGTGGCTATGGAGGGGGCTGCAGTCACCCCAAATTTTTCCATAGCCCCCCCATAACCCCTGCTCCCAGCATTGCTGCCACTTGCCACAAGTGCAGCCCTCGGTCAACACCTTCCCCTACCAAGTCTCCAAAAGAGCCTGGCATAGCCCCAGCCTGCAACTGCAGCCCCCCCAACGCAGATCTGGGGGCACACACCTGCCTGAGCCCTCCTGGGGTTTATGCAGTAGCAGGAGCTTCCCTGCCCCGCACCGCCCAGATGAGCCGCGGCTCCGGGCCGGGCCCCAGCTCGCCAGCCCCTGCCCCACTCTCTCTCACCATGGGAAGCGCTGATCTGCCTTCCCTGTCCCCTTCCACCCCAACAGACTTAGCAGTTGGACGCAGCTTGTGGGCTGTGCTTCTCACTGCCTGCGTGCGGTGCTGCGGCTGCACGCATGCAGGGGCATTTATCAGCCAAATTATTGGCCACATCAGGCCAATTTCCAATGCAATCAATTTTCTTTATATTGGTGCCAATCCCATATCAGACCGATGTATGGGTGCACCTCTAGTTAATACATAATCAGGAAGGAGGAATACTTAATGTATTTTGTAGTAGGAGCATATCTGAGTGCTGCTACTTAAATGTGCCTCAGTATGGTAGTTTCCTTGGATATACCACCCAGCTGATGTTCACCATACATGCCCACTAGAATAAGTGGAACATTTGAAATGTGCTCAGCATAGCATTAATACCTATGTGCCATTTAACATGAAGGTGCCCACCACTGTTCTGTGCCCCAAGGAAGAGTTCTAGTGTAGAACTTTAGACACTGGAAGTTGGACAGCTCTGATGTATTGCATCAGGGGTTGTCAACCGAGGGAACGGCTGTGCACCACCCCATGCTGCATGTCCAGCTGCCGGGGGTACACTTACTAAAAAAGGTTGAAAACCCCTGTAGTATATCGTTAGGCCAGTTCATGGCCATAGAAAACAAATATAAATCAATGCTTGTTAGTGTTCCCCAGAGCTACCACCACTGGGTTTCTGAAACTTCCTTCTGCACTCATTTCACAAGAAACTGAGAACATTCTGGAATTGTCATTTGTCCGTGTTGCTGCTGTGTATGTGGTGACCATGGATCTGGGTTTTCCGTTTCCCATGGAGAAAACCACGGGTTTCCTGGTTTTATCAGAGAAACCCATGGATTTCCCCCTTTTCCAAAGAGCTCTGCAGGATGGCTGAGTTGCAGCCTGCAAGAGATGTTTGCAAAAAGGATGGGAAAGCCACAACCCTGCCTGGAGGGGCAGGGAGAAGGGGAGGGGGAAGGGCGGAGCCTATGGCTTTTAGTCAGTCACAAGGCCTAGGTCAGGCTTGCATTCCTTCTGGGGCCTGTGAACTGGTAAGTGGGCCTTTCAGGGAGCTGGAGGGTTGCAGGGCAGGGGTGGAAGCTGGTTGGGGCTGAGGGAGTGGTGTGGTAAAAATACACCATGACCTAGGCCTCTCTTGAGTAATAACCGTATGAGCCCCTCATGATCCCTTGTGTAAGAAGCACGAGGCCTAACGACTGAGTTGTGGGTTTCTTTTCCTTCTTGCTTGCTCTGCATTTTGTAACCATATTGAACTAATGCCCTGAAGTTATACTAAGGTATAAGGTTACTAGAAGACATTAACTCTGCCGCAGTTCCCCTTTTCTTCTGCGCATGCGACAGAACTTTTTGCCGCAGTTCTGCTTTTTAAATACGCATGCACTAAACTTGACAGGGGATACTAACCAATAGCAAACTAAACCTCGCCCATAAGATAAGACGTAACA